TTACAAAAATATGAAGGAGGAAGGATCATACTCATGAGTCTGAAAAGCAGCTGACTTTGAAAGGATGGCTCCATAAGCGAGCATGACTTCAAGCGGCTCGTTTAATGCAAATACGCAAAAAATATCACACCACTTATTTCATCTTAAATATGAGAAACTTGCCGAACTTTTCGATAGAAAATAGCTAGCAGAGGAACTCAAGTACATACAGAGTTATCCAGGTAACGCACGGCTTACGAGATACCTTCGAATGCGTGAGCCGTGTGAAAGGACTCGACCTGAACCGTACGTTGATGCTTTCACTAGAAATCCCACCTGTTTTCACGAACTGGCCTGTCACAGAAACATTCGATTACTGCTTTGTCCCCAGTTGTATGTTAGGAAGAGAAGACAGACAGGATAGAAGAGAAAAGGTTTCTGCAACAGTCTCTCTGTGTGCGTATGTCAGCTTCTCCACGTGTGCATCAACTTCTCAGCGTCCCTGTCCCAGTGGGCATCGTCTTCTCTTCTACAGTTTGTCCTTCGATTCCGGCAGCACGCTCTCGTGTGAGCAGCAGACTCCCACCTTCTGTCCCTAGCCTCTTATTTAAGGTCAAGCAGTCTGTGTTCCCTAGGTCTCTTCTTATTGGTCCCTGCGCGGGACGCTCATCCGAGCAGCTGTCGTGCGATGCTGGTGACCTCAAGGTGACACAACCCCGTGGCGGTGTTTCGTGCGCACGTTGCCCTTTGTGCCTGTTCTCTTTCACTTGTGCAGCCTCCCTTGTTATCTTGACCTCAGGATGACCAGTGTGCTGACTCATGTTCTGTGCCGTCCTAACAATTACATTTGTTAATTCCTCATTTGTTAATTCCTCACCTCGAACCAGCAGAAAATAATGCAAGTAAAAACATTCAAGGAATTACCATAAACATGTGCCTTGAATGTGCAATGCCTATTTGACAACAACCGATACGAGCAGTTTGGACGGCGTAGCTATTGAGCGCAACCCTTGGTCCGATTCCAGCGAATATATAAATGGACAACTTGAAAGCTTCGCAACTTCATCGCCAGATAAATAGTCTGACGAATTGCGGCCGCTACGTAAGCGATATATTCGCGGTTGCATCTAAACAAACTAACATTTCAGTTCTGCTGCCTTCCGTACATCAGGCGCATTCGCCAATAAAATTCACCCTAGTAAATGATCACTCCGGATTGATCCCATTTCTTAACGTTTTTCTAATTGGAGATGTCAATCGAAAGAAGACCTTGTGCTTGCAAAATGTCAATTTTGAGAGTTTCTTGCCATACAAAGTAGGAGCTTAGGCTGATAGATGGCTTTTTTGGACAACATGAGTACCATAGTCGATGTACTAAGTAGAACATGGCTGAAAGACCGCCGAAACCCTAAATACAATCAAGCGTCTTAGAAGCCAATTTAAATCAGGGTCTCATTCCCGACGGATGAGCCAAGCAAACATCTATTAGCACTGAGAGAACGAGGACAAATTGCCAGCTCAGGCCACCTCTGTGTGTATCTAATCATTTACCTGCTCCCATGAGGCATACTATATTGGTCACCCGAACTGCCGTTTGTTCAGAGTAGTACGATATCACTTTCCAACTTTGTTCGGCAATGGCCAAATCAAAATTCTTAACACCTTTATTCAAATGCATATGGTGCACTCGGCTCATCGCATAGACGCCACAGAGGCTTTTGGGTTATCCACAAGGTGCCTTCTTTGGACCGCGTCTGTTGGCTACTACAGAAGTGGTCGCGATCAGGCTACAAAAAACCGGTTCTGTGAGGAGCAGTATATTTGACCGAAAGTCACCACTTCAATCGCCCGCAGCTTATTTAGTTCATAGCAGCCAATTCGCTCTGAAGCTGATAAGACTGTGGAACCCAATTTTAATCTTTTTCTTTCCAAACCTGACAAACACACGATTTCTGTCTACCAACCCGCATATTCTATTTAGTTGGTTGTGATATAAGTTCCCAGGCTTGAAGAGAATTTGTCGAAAGCAAACGTATGCTCTTTACTTTATCTACTAAACACTTACGCCTATTAACTTTCAATCACTCGTCTTCTGATACGGAACTCGGATCTCTGAGCATAACAGAAAAAGTATCCAGCGTTATGCTCTTGTTTATTTTCAAAAAAAACTTTTGGTTTTTTGCGGATCGTCTTACCCCATTGATGTTTTACTATAATCTATCTGGTTAAGGTGGTTAAATAAACAACCACAGACGATTCGGAATGGTAGCCATTACTCAGTAATCAGAGGCTACTCATGGCAAACACATATAATGAAAAGCCATTACATTCCAATTTTTGCCGCTAAGACCATGTTGCACATTTAAGGCAGGCAATACGTGAAGCTAATTACTCTAAATCATGTCCCCTGGCTCGTGGAAGTCGTTTTCAACGGGTCATGCCCATTTAAATTATGGATATAACTTCAGTTAAGACTTGTTTTAAAACCAGCAGGTCTCCTTTCAACTGATGTATGTACCTTTTTAACCCAAGTATTTATTTGAAAAATGGTGCCCCCAGTGACGCACTAAAATCGCTAAACCCCATAGTGTACTTTAGACAAGCTCAGTTAAATTTAAAAAGAATTGTTGCTAGTCAGAAACAATGAGAAAATATTATGTAACTGATGTAGATGCGCTTCGAAATCCTGCCAATAAAGCACTTCCCACAATTAAGTTAATATTCGAGGTGGAAACTACAGGTTCCCTTCTTATCTTGGACGTCCTTCTAGGCACAAGACTCGATGATAGCGTCCGAAGGAACATTTATCGAACGAAAACGTGGTTTCGACAGTATTCTTACGTTAACAGTTTCGTACCCATTTAACACAAGCTGCTTGACCCAAAGGGCTAAAAAAAATATGCTCGGCAAACACAATTGAGATGGAGGTCAAGAGAATTCAATACCTGCTTCGGTAGAACGAGTAGCCTGACAGATTCATTATAAAGAACATGATGGAAGTAGAAACCAAACCCACCACACCCACCGTGCAAAAGAAGACGCTGTTCCTACTAGTCCCGTTTCAAGGGGAATCAGCAAAAGAATTCCTAAGCAAGCGCCTTAACCAATCCGTGCCGTGAAACTTCCCAGAAGCGAAATGCCGGGTGTTATTCTCAACCAACCCAGTACTGCACGGTGAAGGTAAGTATAGGCTGCCAGCTCAGACCACTTCTATGCGTATTTACTCACTTACTTGTTCCTCTGGAGAAGGTTATATTGGTCGTACGAACCGACGTTTACCCTAAAGGATATGAGAGCACCTCCCAGCATGACGGAGCAAAGGTGAAGTCAGGAGTATCAACAGCGCCAATCTTGCCCACATGGTTAACTCCGGATATCACGTGGACCCCAACGAAGCCTTCAAGGCGATTTACAAGGCCCCATCAAACTACCCAAAGTCCTTGGGTCAGCGGTCGCTAG